GGGCTGACTCTGCAGAACGCCTCAACACAACAAGAACTCTTTTCTCAAATAAGTCTAGGAGTGGTGTGCAAACGCTGGCTGCACTCACTGTCACTGACCGGCTAAAGATAACCACACGTCACACAAGGTTTGGCAGATATTGGAGCACAATTAGGTCACCGCTGTGGCTGTCAGCTCCTGGTACTCCCAGTCTCTCCACGGAGCAGTGTCTGCGCCGGAGCACTGCTCTCTGGGGAGCTCTTGTCCATATTAGCCACACTAAGTGGGTCAGTGGGTCCACCAATCACACCCACCAGTAACACTGCAGCCAGTGTAAGAAGATTATTGGCAAAAATTAGCAGTGCTGTCAGCTAACAGACAAAGAGTGAAAAACACACCCTGACAGAACAGACCCTCGGATCCTGTAGAGCGCTCTCTCTCTCTCTCTTTCTCTCTCTCCCGCCCTTTCTTCCTTTCCTTCCCTCCTGCAGCACAGCACCGTGTCCTCGCTGCACTGTACATTGCAGCATCACGTATGACACGCAGCCAGACGGTGCAGAGGAACCTGAGGTCTCTCAGACCTGAATGCCTTCAGTGTGAGTGCAACAAAAAAGAAAAGATTTGAAGCGTTCATAGGCAGAGTTTAGGTTTGGATTTGAGGTTTAACTGTGTTTATGAAACACAGGTTCAATAACGCCCTCGGCTGATGAAGATGAGATTGATGATTGATTCATCAATCTCATCTTCGTCTCGTCATGGTTTAAACACAATCGCTATTGTCTGCACAAACATAAGAAAAAAAGGAAAACACAAACAGAGGGCAGAATAGCAAGTTATTTCCACATTTATAATCAGAAAGACGAGGCTTTCCACTCATGTCACGTCAGTGCAGGTGTTTCCTTGTTAGGCATCCATTCCCCTCTCCTCTCCAAACCTCCCTAATGGAACATGCAATTAAATCACATTCAAATGTGAGTTTTTTTCTTTTGAGTTTCTCTGTTTTTAATTTAACCTTGTTTAAAAAAAAACAAAAAAAACCCTGAACCTGCCAGATGAGCCGTCAGTAGAGCGGCAGCTCAAATCTCCTGAAAACCTTGGAAGAGAAAAGGCATGTTTTTAATGAGAGCGGCCGCTCTGCCAGTTTTTGGACACTGGCTGCAGTCGGCTGATCACACGGCCAACTATCTCTCGAACGTGAGGTCACGGTGAGGACAGCTGGATGATCTGTCAACATGATTTGATAAAGAAGCTGAGGGAACAGTTCTCCTGCTCTCTGGCAACGCAAAGAGTCATGTCCTGAGTGCTGGAACCACACCTGTCGGTTGGCTGCGTTCCCCCGCCCCAGGATAAATGCATTTCATTTCATCTTTGCTGCAAAGTGTGTGTGTGTGTGTGTGTGTGTCACACATGATGAGCATCAGCATCAGACGTCTGCTGACATGAATGATAATGCAGCTTATTTATAATCTGTGAATGAACACAACAGAACTGTGTTGTTTGCATTGATTTGATTGGATAAGTGCAGCGTGCGTCTGGATTTTTTGCGCTCATTCGTGCTCTGGATCAATATTATTAGTCATTCATTAGTTGTTTTTTTCACCAACTGGGTTTTCAGTAGGAACTGATGACCACAAATAAAGAGAAGAAAAGTAACAGAGAGCAGACACACCCTGGAAAAAAGTCCAGAGCACTGCACTGCTGCAGAGAGACAAAATACAGACGCACAAAGACTCTCTCTCACACACACATATATACAGGCACACATACATGTACACACACACACACAGGAACAGAATGGTGTGTGTGTGTGTGTGCAGGAGGGTCCCACCCCTGTCTGTGTCTACATTGCAGCAGTGCTGCAGTCACAAAGAGGGAACAAAGGTTTCATAACAGGGCTGCAACTGATGTTACAGCGGCCCCTAGTGGTCCCACACAGAACCGAGCACCTCGACACCGCTAACATGGGCTCTTCCTCAGATAAACTCCAGTTATAAAGGACATGCAGTGTCTATGTTAAGTCACTCATGAAAAAAATATTGTTTTGTCCTCATCAAACATTTTCCCAGAATCCTTCTTGGTTTGTGTTTTCATTTTCTGCCTCCTTGAAGAAATGTTCCCGTGATCCATGCTCTGAGAACAAAGGAGGGTTGGTCTGCTCATCAAACCCACAGTTTGGTTCAAACAAGAAAAAAAGAAGCAGCAGGATTTAGTTACAGTGTCGGGCAGCGTGGTCATGAGCTGCAGTTACAGGCTTTTGTTTGAATTCTTTAATCAACTCAAATCTGATATTTCTTCTCTATGTCAATGTTCATACTATAATGTTCTTAAAAATATTCATTTAATGGTTTTTTTGTATTTTTTTATTGTTTAAATATTTTAATCATCTGATTGTGTTGTGTGTGTGTGTGTGTGTGTCTTTATGCTTATTTGAGCAGCCAGGTGGTGTAGCAGTGTTTTATTTTCTTGCCTTACAGCACGAAGGTCCCTGGTTCAAGTCCAAGCTCTTGCATGTTCTCTCTGTGTCACCAGTTTTACTAGGATTAAGTACTAGAAAATTAAGTTTTAATTACATTTTATTTTTTATTAATTAAAAAAACGAACCATAATGCAAAAAAAGTCCTGTCTTCCTCAGTGAAGTGTGTAGTGTACACACGAGCAGTTTATAGATTGAGAAAATCCCACTGCTTGTTCATAAAAATAAAAACGTTTATTGTAAAAATGCTGTTAAATCCATGTACAGTGGATTCAGTCACTTTTCTGACTAATAAAGATCCACCGCAATGTTAAGAGAAAGAGCGTTGTAGCCACAGGATACAGTTGGAATCATGCTTTGCCCTGTATCGCCCTCTATTGGTCGTTGTTGGAAAAAATGAAAACTGTGTGTATCACGTAATAATCTTCATTAAATGCTCTTTAAGAAAACCGAATCTATTACAATAGTGAAATGGTGATAACGTTGGCGAGTGATAATGAAAAAAAAAACGATGTAGTGATAAATTGCACACAAAAAACACCAAAACATTTGTATCAAATAGAAATATTTTAAACAATTAGTTTTTCCATTTAAAATATTTTGGTTTCTAATTAAATCAATGAACAGAAATACAGACAAAGAACAACAAAAGGTGTACTGTGTATTCACAGTACACTCACAGCTAAAGCGACTGTTGTAGCTAACGTTAGCTCACTGATCGACACTGTTGTGTTCAGTTTGTACTTTGTGTTAAACAATTTGCTCTCTGGTCTAAGCTGTCATCAAGAAGAAAGAAAAACCTTTAATTACTGCCACCTAAAGGCCTGGAGCATCAGTGTTCCTGGTTTAGAGATGTAGTGATCTGGGGGAGCTGTGGTTAAAAAACAACTGCAGACAGAGACGGACTTCCTGCTGTGTTTGGTTACATCTTTATTTAAACTCATTTATTTTCCTGTCAGCAGCCCTGCAGTACACCAGCACTGCCTGAGGGGCAGCATAATTAGGAAACACTGTATATGGAAACCTTTCCCCAGCGTCTTAGCTTTTAATATTAATGTTGAACCACTATCATGTCCTTTCTCTTTGTTAAATATGGCTCATCGATGTTATCAGTAACGATTACACTTTCTTTTTATATGTCTTTGACTTAGCTTTGCTCGAATTTGAGTGGCTGCTGTGACTAGTTTCTTCCACTAGAGAGCACCATGAAACTGAAGGTAAGATAACAGTACAAAGTGCAAACGTACAGTTGTCCGTCATTATCAGGTGTTGGCGGTAATAATAATAATAATAATAATAAGTCTAAACTTATTGTTTTTATCTGTTGTTTTTTATCATAATTATTCATTTTTACAGCAGCCTCAAAACTCAGCTTAAATAATTACAGCCCGGTTTTATTTAGATTTAGAATCCAGTGTTAAATGCAATGCGCATTTCTTAAGCATCAATTATGCAGACGCATTAGTGTCACGTTAACAAGTAATGTCCGTTTTTAACATGCAGAGTAATGTGTTTTTTTTATTTTATGGGTTGTTACTCGAAACTGCTGCTGTGGGGAAACTGACCACGGCTTTAAAACACGGGGGAACGTTTCTCTGGTGTCTTCTGATACTCAAAGATCGCCTGGTGTCGGCACAGTGATGAGACTAAGGATTATGTAAAACATCAAATCATGAAATTTTATTTATGCAGTATCTCATGCAGCTTAATGTATGCTCAGTTTAAAAGGTAAATATGTTTATGTAGGTAAAAAAAAGTTGTACAATTAATTAGTAATGCGATTTTATTTTTTTCTCCAAATAATCACAATTAAATGTAAAAGATTATTCATTATAAGGGTAACAATATTCAACAGCAAACAGTGTAATGTAAAATTATATATATATTTCTATATATATATTGCAGTTTATATTCTACCTATGTATTGCAAAGATTGTATAAAATTTGATTCGAAGCCGCATTTCTGTCAACTCATACAGTGGATGGCACTCCTAATGTAATTGCCACTGTTCGATACCTTGCTGCCATTTATTTGAGGTTGTCAGAGTGGACTAACAGGCCACACCACCCCCAGAGCAGAGCTTTCATCATATCAAGTTCACCAGGAAAATACATTAGGAAACGATTGTTTGTCTCTCCGAGGCTTTGAAAACAAGGGGTCGACAAAAACTGTAGGATTTACAGGAAAGGTGGATTTTTTTTTAACTGTGACGTGGGATTGATCCAAATAAACCAAAAAAACCCCAAACAAAACAACAACTCAACTGACATGGATATTTTTTAAAGTTGTTATTTGTGGAACCTTCCAGTGGACTCACCACCCGCAGGAAGGTTGAGGGGGGTTGGTACGGTGCAATGTGATTTGGGTGGTGACTACTGCCCCCGCGACCTGGTAACAGATAAGCGGATGAAAATGGATGGATGGATGGATGTTATTTGTGGACAGACCTGTGAAGATTAGTTACATTTTCATAATGACAATTCTTTAAGTAACTGTTTAAGTGACGGTTAGTTTTGATAAGTTCTGCTTTGTGTCTGAGTGCAGTGGTCATATGAAGGAAGTGAGTCAGTTCTTAAACAGAAGTCCTCCACTGGTCTGAGAGTCATTGGAAGTCAGTGGAAATCTGTGAAAAATATTCTAAAGAATAATAAGTTTTACTCCATGTCTTTTAACAGAACAACATATCACTCTTATATATTTTAAAACCAAATAAAGCAAACAACTAGACCAGGGGACCAATTCCATATTTCTCAAATCTGGCCCGCAGCTAGATCATCATCTAATCATTAATTCATTTTGAGTATTTTTAAAAAAAATAATAATCCAAACTCCAGACTTTTTCAAAAACTGTTTCAACAAGTTTATGTTTAGAAAAACAGAAACGGTGACAATAAGTAACAGGAGCTTAAGTCGAACCAGTGGTACACGTACCATAGTTTTGGAACCACTGCCTTAAAGCAGAGTTCTATATGGTGCTGTTCTGTCAGACTGTCCGTCTCTGGACCGGACTGGTCTCCATGGAGAACGACGATCACTAATTAAACAGGAGACATCTGCTGGAGTCACAGTCTCCTGCAGCCTAATGGCTCGTCCTCCCCTCAGCTGTAATTACTATTTAATTGTGAGGAGCCAAATGAACATAAGGCAGTGTTACTGTAGCTCGCCCCCCGCGCGCCCCCACCCCCAGCAGACATAAAGTGCCGTTATAAAAGTATGTAAATGAACTCATTCCTGTATTTAGGAGAGGGAAATTGAAAAGAAGTCAAAAGTACTCTTTGTGAATGTTAAACAGTTATAAGCCATCGGTACCATCCTTTTTACACACCACCACCAACCACTGATTTATAGACTCATTTATTTGTCCTGCTTATTTATAAATGTGTTTTATAAAAATTTCCCAGCCTATCTAACTGATGGGTTTATACTGTGTCACTGCATGTGTTTTATTAATGACTGGACTCAGAAGATCAGGTTTTTATTCAGTGTGTTTCTGCAGCTGTGCACTGAGACGACAGCACAATAACAACGCAACTGTACAACTGTACCTGTGTACAGATGGAAAGACGCTGAACTTGGTCTTGAATAATATACTTTTTTTTTTCATCTTAATCTGAATCCATTTTTAGAGTCGGCTTTTTTGAATTGATGGATACATTTATTAAAGTGATGCTGTTCACAGAGCTAATATATTTTACCAATATGTTTCATATTGCACCTTCAAGTATTGGCGCTGTCCCTTTAAGCAGTTAGTGTGCTCCTGGTGGTTGGACAGATGAGTGTGTGTGTGTGTGTGTGTGTGTGAGAGTGTGTGGCTCAGCCTGTGCTGATGTAGTGTCAGATGCTGATGCTCCACTGATGTTCCACCACAGCAGCAGGTTGCTCCATCACTGACACTGTTGTCCCGTCAAGCTGAGATCCATGAACTCAGAAACCATGAGCACAGTCTCCGAGTCGTTGGCCGGCAGCAGCAGGTCTCTGTCAGCCACCAGGAGACACCGGAGCGTCAGGAAGAACTCCAGGAGGATTTACTCAGCCTTCCAGGACCACCAGGGGTGAGTGCACCACCCGGTCCACAGGTCTGGACCGCGCTGCCTGCCTTCTACACTTTTCACCACACTTCGTGGCTACTCTCTGAGTGACCTTTAAATGTCATTATGTACTGTAGCTCGTACAGTTGGACAATTTTAATGCAATCATCAGGGAGAAGTACAAAGTACTCCATTATTCCTTACTGCCGTCCGGGGACGTTCTAACCTTCTGTCTGTAAATGGAGCTTTCCAAAATAGAAACTTTAAAAAATGTGATCTCAAACATTACAACAACAAACACACTTTCAGGTGTCTCTCCCGGTGAAAAATAAATAAATATTTAAAAGAAGAAAACAAACCAGAAAATGTACTCGTCTAGAGCCTGGATTCTGAGTTAAGTTAATCACAAATCAACTACATCTGTAGTTGATAAAATGAACATGGAAGAATACAACAATCTTTATTATTTATTGTTTCTGGGTGAAATGTTTATCCTGGTGTTGGAGGAGGTCAGGGTTTCTAACTGCGAAATGTTTATCCTGGTGTTGGAGGAGGAGCGGCTGGAGTCAGGGTTTCTAACTGTCTCTTAAAATATTCAGTCTGCGCAACAAAAACTTTGACCGTCGTCAACATTAATAATGATAATGGCCTTTCAGCAACACTACACACAGTTTACTCTACAGTTTAACCTGTTTTCAGGTCAGGTTTTTAATCTGTTTCAGTGAAAACATCTTCAACAACTTCACTCTTTTTTTTTTTTCATCTCAGTCCTGTTTAAAGGTTGTTTTTTTTTTCATTCAAACCAATTCATTCCAGGCTGATCTCTTTGCTTTCATTCATTTTTTAAATTTATAACGTCGACAACCATCAATGGAGAAGACATAAAATTAAAAGATAAAACACTGCATGTTGCATACTGTATGTGGAACAGTGTAGATGGTACTTGAAGTACTTCTATCTAGATAATTTAAAAAAAACTTCAGGATATTTTATTTGGTTTAAAATTATTATGATTTAATTATTAAATTATCTGACAAACTTATGCAAACTCATAATAAAACTATATTTTCCTACGAATCGCCTCACATAACGTATGTGTTTCCCTGATAAAATCATTCATTTTGACAGAACTTTATTTGTCCCTAGAAAATCATGATAAGGTTTCAAATTGCTGTCCATAACTCACAGGTAGGTGGCAGTCTGGCTGAGGCCAGAGTCCGCAACAAGAAGCAGCAGTAAAACCCGGACATTTGTCATAAAGTCAATCAGTTATTCAAATGTATTTTAATTATTTCCAAAACGACAGCTGTATATTTCCATTAACGCTAGTGTAGAAACGTCAATATAAGAAACACATCAGAGACCAGTGGGAAACACAGCGGACATATATTCTGTCCTGATATCTACAGGAGGTCGGGGGTTGCCATAAAGAAATGCTGCGATTGCTTTTTTTTCTTTTTTTCTCACCACTGCGCTCTTTGTCTTCCGCTGCAGCTCCTCCGAAGATGAAGATAAAGAGGATGAGCGGGTGGACAGTAACGACCCGGAGGAAATGTTCCAGAACATTCAGTACCAGAAAGAGATCATCGCCAACATCCGAACCCGACCGTGGCCAATGAGGCGCAAACTCAAAGTTCTAAAGTAATTTTCCCTCTCAAAAAAAATGTTAAAAAACCAAAAGAAACTTTTTTAAATGTTCATTTGAATTGTCTTCAAACATTTCTGTCGGTTGGAAATATGTTTTTAGCACGACAGCCTCATATTTCCGGGATAAACATGATAATCTTTTAGATACTTAAGTTTTTTGGCTCAAAGATTACTTGGATAAAATTAGTATTTTTCTGCAGTAGTACACTCTGTTTAATCCAACCTGCTGTCTAAACACACACCAGTGTGTTTTACATTTTAATAAATGTAGCAGGAGGCTGGTGCTGCTGCCGGTGAGATGAGTTCAGTTCGTGCCGCAGATAACACACTTTACAGCGGCCGTTTGTCGGCACAGCAAAGGTTACTGGGGCGGGTTACAAGTGTGAGCACTGCCGTTATTTTAACGTCATGTCTTTAATAGTAAATGCAGCTTCCACCCTCAGATTGAACCACATAAATAAATAAAATACATATTTTTTTTCACAGAATTACGTCTATTTTCTCCAACTCTAACAGCGCCCTCTTTTGTCCAGGTGTGTGTAACGGTACCAGTGTGGTGGTTGTTTTTCCGTGTAGACTCAGTCGTTCAGCTTCTGTGTATCTGTGACACGGTGACTCTGGTTCATTGTCTTTATGGGCTGTAAAGCTGCTGAGATATTTGGGACGATTTATTTTAATGAAAGCCGTCGACTGTGACAGGTTCAGGAAGAATTAGAAGTAATAACGCTTTTATTTCACCCGCTAATTTATGGAAATGGATACTTGGATGGATGTGCAGTACAGGATGAAGTACTGTCTCACCATGTTCTGGCTCAGTCAGGCAGTTTGGGTAAAATATGGAGTATTTGGAGCATTTGTAATTGAACCTGTGATGAATCTTAATATTGAGATATCGCACAGCTCTACTTTGAAATGATATAAAAGTCTGTAGGTAGTTGTGTATCTGCCCCGGTGTTTAACTGACCAACCTGCAGTACTGTTCGTACAGTACCTGCTCCTAAAGACCCGTTATCAGGATCAATCATCTGACAATGGGTGGATACCATGAAGAAATGACCGTGTGTGATTGTGTGTGTTTTTCAGACAGGCTCGGGAAATTGTCCTGAAATACGAGGGACGACTGACCAGAACCAGAGGTTACCAGACGGCAGGGGCTGATGTACGTACATTTTGCTCTTCATTTTGGCTCGTGCCTCTTCTAATGTTTTTATGTTCTAGATTATGACATTACTACAGTGTTAGTGCAGGTTTCATGTACTGTAGGTGAGTTCCGTTCCTACAGTGAAAATCAAGTTACGTTGCACTGTAAGAACAGAACTCAAAGGTAAGTCAAAGACCCCGGGTATCTCCATGTAACAGACCAGGCCACTCTGAGGTTGTGTCTGGGCCACATGTGGCCCCTGGGTCTCCATTTGAATGAGCTTGATTTTTTCAATCACAACATTAGGATTTTTACTTGACTGCGGTGGAACGTTAGGAAACCCTGTGGCTGGGAAGTGTACTGCAGATATACCGTATATGAGGAGTAAAACGCTGCAAGTTGTAAAAGTTGGAAATTTATTTTGACATCCCAAAAAATCTCCTGTGATCCCTCTCTGGGCCCTGACACAGACTGTGGTAACGACCGCCGTGCACGGCTACAACTCTCCTCTCTCTGTCTGATTGTTCAATGAGAAACGCAGTGCAGCAGCTCAATCGGAGCCAGAATCATAAAAAATGGAAATTTGTTTCTGAGCTGCTGATTTCTGATGTTTACACACACACACACACATCCACACACAGAGGAAGGCGGCGGCAGGAGCAGATTTATGGGCTGTTGTTATAGCTCAGTTTAATTAGAATGTTCAGGCAGCTCAGGCTCCATTAGAATAAATTGACTTCCCGTGAGCGGTCTGCTGATGAGGTATTAATCAGAGTCATCGGTCCAACTGACCTGATCCTGACTAATAATATTCTCACTACTGATTTTTATCTCTCGTCACTTCACAAATTCTGAGAAGCCTCTCTCGCGGGGATTTTTCCTTTTCCCTCAACAAACGGTTCAAACTTCCTTTGTTTTAACGAATCATCTGTGAAAATGTTGACGTCGGTGTGAGTCTTATGTCTTTGTTTTATGTCCCTTTTAGGCTTAATTCAAGTAAACTCTTATATCATATGTCAAACTGAAGACCCGTGAGCCAAATGCGGCCCGTCTAGTCATTTTTGTTTGGCCAACGGGAGGTAAAAAGGTGTTTAATTGAAGTATTTTGAAGTAGAAGCCGATGCAGAATTTAATACCATATTTACCATATTAACACGGACCTTGTTGTTTTGTATGAAAGTCAAACAACAAGATTGCTTTGAGTTGAGTGTTTTCACAGGTCAGTGTTTGTACATAAAGCAGCCAAAATCAAATTCCCATGTGACCAATGTGCTGAGGTCAGAAGATTTGAAAACTGTTTTAAACCTGTTTGGTCTCAGTGAACTCAGTAAATAATTCCTCAGAGTTTAATCATCATCATTAGTCCATGTGGTTCTACTCTCCTTCAGCTCCTGAAGAAACTCTCCCGTCTGCTGTACAACGTCGTGGTTATCTTCATCCCCTGGGAAGTCAGGATCAAGAAAATTGAAAGTGAGTTTTTTAAGTCTATTCAACACAGTTTGCTTGTTTATACTGGTAATCATTAGGTAGTACAGGTACTGTTTAAATCTAGGATACAATACTTTTACTATTTTCATTTAAATGTAGGGATGTAAGATATTAGGTTTTGCCGATATTGTCCAAACACTTCATTTCTGATTCCGATATCAACTGATACTGATATAGGCCTGGTATTATTTATTTATTTATTTATCTGTATAAACCGCTGTTTGACTATGTGATTAATTAAATGAGCTGCAATGCTGCAAAGCTGTAGTTAAAAGAATCATAAATAAAAAAACATTTTCCATTTTTTCAGATTTTATTAATGCCTCTCAAAGCTCCTAATGATTTTGTGGCTGATTAATTTTTTAATTTAAATTAAATTATGTAACCATGACTGGCCTTAAAAGTGTGAGGAGAGGATGTGACGTTGGTCAGTGCTGAGTATCTGGAATGTTCTCTGTGTCTCCGTGAGGTCACTTTGGATCAGGCGTGGCCTCCTACTTCATCTTCCTGCGCTGGTTGTTTGGGATCAACATCGTCCTGACCATCATGACTGGAGCGTTCATCGTTCTCCCAGAGGTCAGTGCGGCTCTGACATTCTTCACTGTACAAGCACATACTCGAAATACTCTAAAAACGAATGATAAATTCTTATTGTTGTCATTGTCTGTTACTGTAAACAAATGATAAATTCTTATTGTTGTCATTGTTTGTTACTGTAAATGTTTCTTTAGTCCCTATTCTTTTCAGAGTAGTTTACTGTATGTCAATAAGTAAATATATTAACTAAATTAACAGTAATGTAAATTACTGAGTAACGTGTGTGTGTGTGTGTGTGTGTGTGTGTGTGTGTGTGCACGCGCACGTGCATTAGCTCCTGGCTGGATCTGCTTTCGGCACCACTCGGAGTAAAACTATCCCAAAGGAGCATCTGGCCTCGGCCCAGGACCTGGACACCATCTGGTCTCTGGGGGTACTGCTCTCTTTGTTTTTATGACTTTCATTAATAGGACGTTACTCACACACATACCTGTAATGGACCATTACTCAGACTTTACTGAGGGTCATTTTCACCTCATATTTGTTGAGTTCCAACAGTTTACTACGGCTGTAAAATATAGTTTTATTGTTTGTAATCACTGTGAAATCCATATGTATATTTACTGATGACATATATATTTGTGTCTGTTTACTTCCTGTCATGACGTCATACAGTACGTGGTGTATGTTTGATCTCCGCAGGGCTACCTCCAGTACTCAGTGCTATTCTACGGTTACTACGGCAGGGTGAGAAAAATTGGCAGCGCCGGGTACCGACTGCCGCTCGCTTACTTCCTGGTTGGGATGGCTGTCTTTGCCTACAGTTTCATCATTCTGTTGAGAAAGTAATCCCTGAAACCACAAACACATACGAGTGTGTGGAACATGTAACTCAAAAACTGTTTTTTTTATAGGATGGCAAAGAATTCCCGCCTGAGTCTGGCCAGTGCCTCTGATGAGAACTTCACCTTCTGTTGGCGTGTTTTCTGTGCCTGGGATTATCTGATAGGAAATCCAGAGGCTGCAGAGAGCAAGGGCGCCGCCATCGTCAACAACATCAGAGTAAACACACACACACACGCACAGATCATTCACAATTCAATTTTTAAACCATTTTTTGAGCCACACAATACAACGGTACCAGCAACACACACACACACACACACAGATCATTCACAATTCAATTACAATAAGGCAAAGGGAGACAACGGTTTAATCAAGTAGAGAAACAGCTTTGCAAATACACAAAAAATATTAAAAGAAATATTCTTTAGTATTACAGTTGCTACTTTACAATGGGTTTTGTTTTTGTATTAATACATTAATTTCATGTTTAAAGAATCAACAGTTGACAGTGCACTTTCACACTGTGTTATTTTGTTGTGAGCTACATTGCCTCTGGGCCAAAGCGCCACCACACACACACTGATCATTTACAATTCAATTTTAAACCATTTTTTGAGCCACACAATACAACGATACCAGCATAAATACTACAATTCAGTACTACAATATGAATAAAGGTACCTGAGAGGCAAAGGGAGACAACGGTTTAATCAAGTAGAGAAACAGCTTTGCAAATACACAAAAAATATTAAAAGAAATATTCTTTAGTATTACAGTTGCTACTTTACAATGGGTTTTGTTTTTGTATTAATACATTAATTTCATGTTTAAAGAATCAACAGTTGACAGTGCACTTTCACACTGTGTTATTTTGTTGTGAGCTATCCAGTGGACCAGTCCAACTGGTGTGTACCACATCCAGTCAGTCTGGATATTGAACTTATAGATGAATGTATTGTGTGGGAACTGGTATTTATTTGTACTTTTCTCACAGGAGGCTATCGTCGAGGAGCAGGAGAAGAAGAAAGACACCAGCTTGTATGTGTATTTGTATTTCTACTGTGCATTTATTTATTTATTTATTTACACACATATATATTGACACAAATATATACAACATTTATAAACTTAGAAACTATAGATTTCCTAATATATACAGTATGCAGTATGTATACTCTATCAATATATTTACTATATATGTGTATATATTAATATATATATTATAATATATACAAACATACACGACCGGTGTCCCTCAGCAGCTGGAGTTCTACCTGTGTTACCATGTCAGACACACTGACACACCTCCTGTCCTCCCTCTGCTCAGGTGAGTGTAGTCGTGTCTCTCATCACCATGATCGCTCCATCTGCGTTTGAGTTGGTGGCTCAGCTGGAGATGTACCATCCACGGACCTCGCTGCGGTTCCAGCTGGCCAGGTATCAAACGCTGCCCAGCCCAGGATTCATCACAATATTTATAATATAATTCCTCCTCAGCCCATTAACCACCGCTGTGTTTCCAGGGTACTTGTCTTATACCTCGGGAACCTCTACAGCCTCATTATCGCCCTCCTGGACAAAGTCAACAGTATGAGTTCTGCTGTGAGTACAACAACAACATTACAAGAGAGAAATCTCTGTTTACTTATTTCTGCTGCAGTTACACGGCCGTCAAACTTCAATGCTGACAACCGCAAATGCCAATGCTTAATCTCATTAATCACAGGATAACAACACAAGTATCGACTGTGTACAAAGCAGTGGTCCACAACCTTTTTTGAACCAAGGACTGGTCGGCCGGTATCAGCCGTTACTGTGGACCAGTAATACCATGCCATCATTGAAACATTTTTTAGACTTTATTCTGTTAGTATCAGAGTCTGAATGACCTTTGACCTGTTGTTTTGAAACATTGACTTTGAATGAAAAAAGTAAAGGGAAGTACATTTTTTTCACTGTGTCCCACTGTGGCCCGGAACCATATGACCTACGGACTGGCACCGGTACCTGGACCGGGGTTTGAGCAACGACCAATGTTAGAGCAACAAGATGAATGGTGCAATTATTGGATATACAAGTGAACATACTTGCTTGTGTTAAAATGCATTAAAAAATGTATTTGATTAATTAAAAAAAACACAGTTAGCAACTCAATACTGTTTACTTATTTCTGCTGCAGTTACAGTTGCAGTTAAATATTGAATATTTTCTCAGTTTTTAAAAAGTTTATCTGGATGAACCTGATCACCTGAGGGTATAGAGTTGATCTGATATCAGTTCTTCATGTTTGTCCTCCAGGTCCCAGTGAGTACAGGTAACTGGTCTGAGTCCAGCTCCTTCCTGGCCACCATCTCCCAGCCAGAGGGCGACAGTCTGTCCACCTTAGTGTCGGAGATCTCTGCCTCGGAACATCGTAACGGAACCACGGCCACCATCGCCACGATGCTGGGAGTGAGCAACAGCAGCAGAAGTGTGTTAGGGACCGTCCGCAACCAGACGGCTCTGTTTGAGAAGAACACCAGGACTCAGCAGGACCAATGCTGGGAGACATATGTTGGACAGGTTCTGACTCTCCTCATTGTTGGAGACACGTTAATGAACACTGTACTGCATGTTAGCGATGCTAGCTGTGCACTGGCTGTGTTTCCAGGAGATGCTGAAGCTGTCCATCATCGACATGATCTTCACAGTGGCCAGCATCCTCCTCATTGACTTCATCAGAGGTTTGGTGGTCCGTTACCTGAGTGACTGCTGCTGCTGGGACTTGGAGAGCAAGTTTGTAGGTTTTCATTCCGTACTTGTTTCCATCAGATCTGCAACATGTTTACACAGAGCTTCAACGTGGTTAGAAAAACTCTAGAGAGAACTATACAATTCCTCTGGGGGGTGCTAAAGTACTTCAGCGGAGGCATAAAATGAGGAGGCGAGTGCCGGACAACATCTAAATTAGGGGTGGGCAAGAAGAGGTATAAAATTTGACTATTGTGCCGGTTTAATACCGGTTGGCTGTGGAATGCTGGGTAAATTAATTTAAATAAAATGTACAAGAATAAATGTAAATTTTCAAAGATACTTTGGCACGTTGCATTATAGTGGCATCAACAGGAATTACAGTTTGTTGTACTGCATGAAGCAGAAAGATTGGTGTCTTTACCAGGGTTTTGCTACTGCATGAAGCAGAAAGATTGGTGTCAGTCTTTACCAGGGTTTTGTGGGATGGATTAGATAGCCCAGTGGGCCGTATCTGGCCCACGCACCGTAGTTTGGCTAGGTCTGATTTAAACTAAATAACTGAGAAGAAGTATTAACATGGTCCTGGTAACATGTCCTGTATCGTATGTAATGAATAATTAACCTCAAATGTCTGCACACTTTTTTATTCCTGTTTTTTTTTTTCATCTCTCCTCAGCCTGAATATGGAGAATTCAAAATAGCCGAAAACGTTCTGCATCTGATTTATAACCAAGGAATGATCTGGTAGGTGGAGGAGACAGGCAGGACATCTTCTCTGACACTCCCATTACTGCAGTCCTGCCCTGTCACTGTGTGTGTAATAGAGCATCTGATTCAGAGTTAGGGCTGTAGCCGCTGCTGACCACTCTCCCTGACCCTGCTAAAGGACCGCGGCCTCTGGTCGTGGTGTCGACAGTATTTCCTCATCTCATTTCACAAACGTCGTCCTGCAACAATGAACGTAATGAAAGGAAACTATTAGGCTGTGTGTGAGAGAGTGTGTGCGTGTGAGTACGTGTGTGTGTGTGTGTGGTTTAATGGTCTCATTCTATTCTACAGGATGGGGGCATTCTTCTCTCCCTGCCTTCCTGCTTTCAATGTGTTGAAGCTGATTGGTCTGATGTATCTGAGGAGCTGGGCTGTCCTCACCTGTAATGTTCCTCATCAGCAAGTGTTCAGAGCCTCCAGGTCGGGGACACACACTCACACACACACACTTCACGAACATCTCTTTTATTATTTTTTTGTAATGGAATGATATGGGGAATATAAAATGACAGGTGTGAGCAGTGTTTAAGGAAGTGGATTCCTGTCCAGAATGTCGCAGGTTCGATTCCACCAGCCCCCATGGTGCCACCGAGGGGCATTGACCATGGCACTGTCCCCACACATTGCTCCGTAGGCACTTAGCTTGAGCTGCCCCCTGCTGGCTAAGGTGATGGGTTAAATGCAGAGGACAAGTTCGTTGTGTGCGGTGGTGACAGAAATCACTTTCACTTAATTAGTGCAATACGTTTGGGTCACGCTGATCAATTTCAGTGGTAACATTCTGAGGAGAAACCTGGGCTACAAAAATTGCCTAAGGAAAAAAAAAACCTGTGTCTACAGAGTTTCGTGGAAATGAAGACATGTCTCATGTCAAGCTGCACAAATCAAGTACCCTCGTCCCGTCATCGCTTCTCATTTTCCTGCTTTGCAGTGATAGGAACAAATCAGTGTGTCGTCCTGTGGCTCCCTCTATGGCTGCACTAATACACACGAAAGCCTGCAGCGCTGCCCCCATCAGGATTTATGTAATAGAGCCGTCGTTGGTTTCCCTGCGTCCTTATCAGTCACTCCCAGATGCGTTGGAGAATCCGAGCTCCGTGCTCAGACAAAGAGCTGATAGCACACTTAATGTGAGCTGTTAAATTCAGTTCTGTGCCAGGAGATTGATACTGACATTTTGCTGATAGTAAAATAGTTTATTTTTTTAACAACTCCTGCTCCTAATGATAGCGTCGAGGCATCTGAATGTGCAAACTGACAAGATTTATGCTGGATATTATTTTTTTGTTCACCCAGTCCTCCATTAATCCTGTATTTAACCCATCTGTGATACAGCCCATTTATTAACACCAGGCACACAGGAGCAGTGGACTGCACTTCTGGTGCTTGTTCAACACACGGTCCGGTCCAGGCCAGGATTCAAACTGACTCCGTTGACACGCATGTTAACCACCAGGCCACAGCCTGCCCTGAACATACCCCTGCTTTACCTCTGTTCGTCACAGCCCATTACTTTGGATGTTTAATCCCAGGTACTTGAACACATCCACCTTCTCTACATCTACTCCTTATAGCGCCCCCTGTGTAATTCATACACAGATGTATTCTGTTTCACTTCTACTAAACTACATCCTCTTGCTCTTCAGTGCAGAATTTCATCTCTGCCGTCTCTTTTCTACCTGCGCTCTACTCCCACCAAAGATTACAACGTCATCTGCAAACATCTTGACTCTGCCAAATTTGACAGTCTATGCCAGGGTGTCAAACTCAAATTCACAGTGGGCCAAAATTAATATCTATTGAAAAATTGACTGGAATTGTGCATGTTTTCCCTTCTCTCCAGATGTAATGTTGGATTTTTTCATACTTTAGTTTTGCGTAAATAGAACAAGTGACTAACCACACCACCGAGGGGCGCTCTTTGCTATTTCTATTTCAGTGTGAATTCACTCTTGCCCTATTTATCAAACCACTACCAGCGTTTGTTTTCTGTTTATCTCTGATTTTAAAAACAAGACTAATTAGGTTTAGTCCAACAACTCTACGTTAATGCTATCTTTTTGTCGACTTTGTGTTTTTCAGATCTAATAACTTTTACCTAGCCATGCTGCTCTTCATGCTGTTTCTGTGTATGCTGCCGACCATCTTTTCCATAGTTCGATACCGACCGTCGGAGCACTGCGGACCCTTCAGGTAACTGTTTGGCTCCACCCAGGTTTATACATTGCTTGAAGCCACTTTTGGGAAACACTGTTTTGCATGATTGGATAATGTTGAGGTTTTTTTCTATATATTTTTCCTGTATTTTCAGTGGCCAAGAGAAAATATATGACATCATCTCAGAAACAGTGGCCAGTGACTTCCCACTGTGGTTCAGTAAAGTGACGGGTTACATCACCAGTCCCATCGTCGTGCTGCCGGCACTGCTGCTGCTCTTGTAGGATTCCACACACGCACACACACAGTCTGGTTTTCATGGGTTGTGAGGACTTCACATAAACATAATACATTCCCTGACCCCTCACCCTGACCTCACCCTGACCTCACCCTGACCTTAACCATTACAAATGAATGCCTTATCTTAGTCTTTATCCTTAACCTTTAATTCTAATCCTAGAATTACAAAAAAATGTCTCCATAAATATAGCTACACCTAGAATGTTTAAGACCCAACAGTTAGGTCTCCATAAATATAGCTACACCTAGAAGACCCAACAGTTAACTGTAACTCTGTGTTTCAGCATGCTCATCTACTACCTCCAGGCCATCGCCAGATCCCTGAAGTTCACAAACAATCAGCTGAGAATGCAGCTCCAGAGAGTGAGTGTCTGACAACAGCGCTAACAATGAATGTTTTTCTGAGAATAGTCACTGTACTGTGTTTGTCATCTGACATGTTTGACCTGACAAAAAAACCCCACTGTGACAGTCAATCAAACAAATACAAAAATAAAAGGCAGAAGAAATTAACAAGAGTTAAGACCCCGGGCTTTAGATCAGCTCTACGGTGGGCAGGTGAAGACAGGCTCTATTTCCACATCTAATTAGTCAGGCGGTCTGCTTGACTAACATCTGCTTGAAACTGGGTCATGGCAAGTTAACAAGGCAATGATTTGTTAACAAGTCCATGTAGGTCCTCAGTCATAAAGGTTATTGGAGACGTTGGACTGTTGCCTTCAACTTTACTGAAGCTGGAGTTCCTCAAGAACTCAATGATTCTGAGTCATCTTCTAGAAACCACATTGGTCCAGTCACCTACTAACTTTCTTTCTGTTCTGACTTGGGACCGAAAAATTCAATGAAAGGGATTTTTACACTTTACTTAAATAAATATTAATTTTGTAGGATTTTTGTTTTTATGCAAAAGTCAAAGTGACTCAGATCTTAAAGCGTTTCGGAGAATTTGTTCCCCATTCTTTTATATCATGGATTTTCAAAGTGTTTTTGACCAGTGAATTCATAAACGGTGAAATATCTTGTTATCTTCTAAAGGAGCGAACTGAAGACAGGAAGAAAGTCTTCCAGTTGGCAGCAGGTAGGTTTCTCTCCAAGCCTGAACTCCCAGTTAAACAGTAACAGACGTCAAACTCAGTGATGTCGTCCTTCCTCCAGCCAGACTGCAGGCTCCGGAAACCTCCACGGACAAAAAGACGGATCAGCCGGAAAGTGAAAACACCAGCCAGGAAGCTTCAGTCCACACGCCATCTCCCAGACGGAACGGCAGCGTCACAAACTTCCAGTCTCCCATTCGTCACGGGAACAGCATCCGCACCATCACCCAGTCGGCATCTCGACCCGACCTGAGCAGAGGGAGTGGATCTGGGTCCATCAGAAGTCCGACGGTGACCGTCCTGCCCAAACATCGTGTGGAGCACAGGTCTCTCTCACACACACACACACACACAAACACACTGATTTGGTTGTTTTTTATATTTGTGTTCACATCATGATCGCAGCATTTCAATTGACTATTTTCTCAAAACTAAAACAGCTCAACACTGTGCTTATGATACAGACATAGTAACATGGATAATTACATGTTACTATAGGTCCCTGATTCCTAAAGTGCAGGCAGCGGCCCCCCTAGGTGGGCCCTAGTAGCCAAGGGGGCGCTGTAGAAAAAGTTCAAACTTCTAAATACTTTCTCAGTTTCTTTTTCTATTCTCACGACAAAATGTTTTCTGCAGGAAGCAATGTACTTGTAAGTTATGTGAACTTTTATGGCATGTTTTTTTTACTGCATGCTTAAAATGGTTTGGATTATTTAAAGTGTGGTTCTTTGGTGCAGATTGCTGATTGGACAACAGGGAAAACCAACATTTTGGTCAATAAACAGTAGCTGAAGTCTTACCCAACATCATCAAATAATTCATTATTTTATGATGTGGCTTTAAATCACTGCTGCCCATATAGAACTATGTTTACGGCTGGTTTTGTTTTTGCCATTACTCACTTCATTACTTTACAACTCTTCGAACCGTCATGGTGGACACTCCATCGTCACCGCAGCTTCTGTTGTTCACAGTCTGTACCGACGTATGCAATGATGAAACAATAAAAACGAAACTCTTACACATGGTTTGTTTCTTTTTCCGTAACAGGCCTCCACCGGTTTTTAGTGGCCCAAGTGGATCCTGTCGGTCCAAGTCCTACCATCACTTGATGTACAATCATCCAGCCCGATATTCTGACAACATCCACTCTGACCCCCTGTACAGGAAGACCATACGCTCCATACGTCCAGTCGAGGCTGCCGGTTTCATCCCCGCACAGAGTTTCGGAGGACGTCGTGGTCACACACGCTACGTTATTGTCAATGAGCACGAGCCCAGGAAGAAGCTGCTGCGATCGGCCACTCGAATCCCTCGACACTTCCTAATGGAGGAACCCACTGAGATCCTGGAGCTGTATCCATGCAACATCAAACGCTACACGCCGCGCACCGCACACCACCAACCACATCCTCACCGCTCGCACGCGTCACAGCAGCATCTGAGCGAAGAGGAAGAAGAGGCGGAAGAAGGAAAAGGCAGGAAGAGGACGTCGCTGAGTAAAAATCATCGGCCTCACTCTCTCTCTGACCTCAACCAACCTGCAAACTTCTATATTGGCGAAAGAGTAGAAAGCCACAAGTCAGCAGCTAAAGACGGCCATGGACGATACAGAGCACAAGAGGACGAAGAAGAAGAGGAGGACGGTGGCAATGAGGACTGGAGAGTAGTAGAGTCACAGCCAAGGGGCCAGCCCGGTGGGAGAGGATCGGATCCTCTGGTGCGGACCAGGCGTAACATCCAATCCCCAGGAAGACCTGGACAGTCTCCCACCAGGACCAAGCACTCTGAGTCTCACGCCAAGTCCAAGATGAGAGCGAAGCTGGAAACCCCTGTGACTGAGTCCGACTCGGCCTCGCTGGCCTCCAGCAGCGACCAGCAGAACAGCAGCACCGACCAGTACATCCAAGTTATCCACAACAAGGAGCGCTACCTCAAGTCTGACACCAGACAGGGGAAGGCGGCAAAGAAGAAGTCCAAAGGCAGCTTTGACCTGAACGGCACCGACTCCAATGACCTGGTCTGCTCTAATGTCTGACTTCAGCTGCAAATCACTGCAGACACAACATTTACTGTGTGGTACTATTGTTGCTGGTGTTGTATTTTTATGCGTATATTATGTATTATGTAACTTTTGGTGTAGCTATGTTGTTACTGCCACCTTTTGGGCATTTTTCATCCTCCAGTTTCACTGTATCTTTAACGCAAATCCACAAAAATACTCAGTTGCTCAGTGACGTAACAGCTGTTCTCCAGATCCTCACTCTTGCTTTAACAACCGTGTTTCTCATAAATCAAGCATTTAATATTAAACTAACAAAATGCATGGATCCTGAAATCAGAATAAGGTAATTTTGTGATTATATATGATATTTAATTTCTGTTTATTTTTAAATTCTAGTCAAATGAGGGTTTTTGAGCGCTTAACTCAACAATTAAAGTTATATAAAAATTCAACAGAAGACAATTGCGTACACAGGATGACTAAAAAGTAAAACTGTTACAGGGGCAATCGACAACGTTCAGTAAAGACGATATGAAAAAGGAAACCAAGGGCTTTTATTTTGAAAATTCACAAAGGAAGTATATCGGCCCACATATTGTGCGGATTCCAGTAAGGTTTGCAGTTTTCATTTGCGGTGTTTAACTGTTACACGATGTGCTTTTTATAAACAAAGCGGGTTTAATCCGTATTTTCTCACAGCCGTGTGTTGCAGTCGACGGTCGGTTAACTATGAACATTCGAACATCACGTTTCATTCATTCTCTTTGTCTAAAAACCGAAGCAGTGTAGCGGCGATTTAGCCTTACTTGACCGGGGTTGGTGGACCTGTAGCCGGGAAGTGAAAGCTGCGTGTCAGTGTTTTTTATTTTCCGAGAGAAGTGTCGTTTAAATAAAACCCAGTAAGGTAACGTACACCTCAGGAAGAACTATCATGGATTACGAACACGAAGCGAAGAAGGCGACTGACTCGATGCAGAGCTACAGGACGGACACATCTGGCTGGAAAGTCTGCAAGAAGTCGGTAAATGTTGGCTAATGTTTTCATCACTGTTTTAAAAGTATGACATGTTTTTATTCTACGTATTTGCCGTGTTTTACACCGTGAACCAATAAGCTGCTCCTCTGCTAATGGCGTGTTATGACGTTGACCAACACTGACAGAGAGACCCAGTTACAATGAACTCCGAAATCACGAACAACTACCACTGGGTGGCGCCGACACTACGTTGCTTAGGGCTAGGTGTACAATTCTAACAATACAGGAACAATATATATTATATATAAGTATATTAAATATACTTACTTACTATATATAAGTATATGTAAAAAATAAATAACAATATACTGTACTATTCTGGCACACACCCTGAGGAAGCCCAAGTATCACCAACGGTACATTTTTTGATCAGTAAAGGAAGTTTAGTCCTATGCTGTAATAATTAACAAAATTAATGAACACATTGACCGTTAAGATGACATTTTCCTTGATGTATAGTGAAAATGTTTCTTTTTTTCTGAGAATGTGTTGTTTACTTTGGCAGAATGATGTGGTTGTGTCGTGGCGCCCTTCGTCAGAGTTCCCTGGGAATGTGTAAGAAACTTTTTTTTCCTCTTTTGCTTGTTTATTTCCAATAATAAAATGTCTCCCTTATAAGGAAATAGGGTTGTGTTTTCATATAGAAAACAGCTCCAACGCCGCCGCTATCATGAAGTTAATCTGGTTTGTTTGTTATTGTACTTTTTTTTTTTTACCTTTAATGACACCAGAGCTAATGCTAGCTACAACAGTCCTGCTACAGAAACCAGTGCTAATTGATTACAAAGCCTTTCATTTCCCTGATTTTTTTTTTTTTTTGATTGAGTCCGAAACCTTGTTTGTATATTTGTGTCTCTAATCCTTTGACTGGTGACCTTTTACTGGCTGATAGGGAACACAGCATTCAGTCAGTCATACTGTATGTGTTAAACTCCATGGCCCCGTCCACCTCAGATGTTCTTGATTACCCCTTTAGTTAAGCTAACATTACTGTTTGTCTTTGTGCCGAGGTTGAACAGTTAACCTAGGCTTCATGTTTAAATCTAATTGGCAACAGTCATGCCTGAATCATTTCCTCTCCTGACCCTGTCCTGTCGTCCACCCTGCTGCCAGTTACAAGGGGGATGGGATCATCAGCGGCAGCCTGTTGAAAGTGTGGGAGTGCCTGAAGCCCATACCTGACGGGCTTCGAGTCAAATGGGACAGCAATGTGAAAAGGTTTGAGCTTCTGGAACAAATTACAGAGGTGCGTTGTGTTCTTGTTACAGTGTTTTTGTTTTTTATCAGTAGTTACTTTGTCCAGCAGTTTGACTGAATTATATGTTGAGAACATTCTCTTGTCTCCCACTCAGGGCACCTCCATTTGCCGGACGGTCACACCCTCAGCAGCCATGGGTATCATAGCTCCACGAGACTTTGTAGATGTGGTGGTAGTGAAGCAGTATGGAGATGGAAGCATCTCGTCCAATGGTGTGTATACCAAATATAAAGTCATTGGTTTCTCATCACCATGTATTTAATTCTCAGTCAAATAAAATAGGTGTTTTTTTTAACACACTGATAATTATTTAAGTCCCAACGGTCAGTACTGAAAGTACCTAAGTTGCACAAGTTGTTGATCTTGCTGAGAGTTCTGACCCGTTTCAACTGGACCACGTCATACAAATCAGGAAGGTGGTGAAGGTAACACCACTGAAAAAGTGCTATTAGTTGGTGAGATCCTTAGTCCTAACATCTCGGCACTTCTTATCCTCAAGTCATAAAAGCTGAAATAAAAATCACCGTTTTTTTTTTAATGTCTGATTTTGTGCGTCTCTAATTAAAAACAGTGCCTTGTTTTTAGGGGAATTGAACTTCTTCAAAACACTACAGCTCCACATGTGCATCCTATGATATGAAGCTTCAACTATGCAGCAAGTTGAAGCTTCATACTGACTGTTTTTGTTTCCATGTTTGATTGGTTTCTGTCTGTGTTGTGTTCTGCAGCCACCAACGTGACCCATGTCAGTTGTCCTCCTCAGCCGGGCTACGTGAGAGGCTTCAATCACCCGTGTGGTTGCATCTGTGTCCCAGTCTCAGGGTACGTGGCTTTCGAGCCGTTTATATGGTCAAAGGTCAAAGTGTCCTACGAGAAATTATTTCCTCTGTTGAAAACCTCTAGAATTTATTAATTCAAAAACAGAATTTTGGCCTATTTGAACTTTTCACCAGTTGTGATGAAAATAGGTCGTTGTGGCGCTCAATGACATTCTTGTTACGTACAAATCTCTCTGTTAACTCAGAAGAAACCATTTCACTCTGGTTCTTGTGTTTGTTCTTTCCAGGGAACCCAACAAAACTCAGGTGTACACGTTCTTCCAGACAGACCTGGGGGGCCTGCTCCCTCGCTCTGTCGTCGACTCTTTCTTTCCGTCCAGCATGGCTGAGTTCTACAACAACCTGGCCAAGTCTGTCAAGTCTCACAAAGACATTTGACACCAAGAGCTAAGAGATTCTTTTAAAACCAGGACCAAAAACCCTGGTGCGTTTTAGAGCTAATCTGACAGACGTGGGACCAACACAGTGACAGAATCTTAGAAATTACCCCAAATTTCTTTTGCATCTTTTTCTCCTGTGTCACTACAGGAAGAGGACACCACATGTTAACCAGTTTAAATTCACATTTTAAAACCAAAACGGTTGGTTCCAAAAAAAAAGTTTTGTATTTCATGGAAAAAAAGCCGCAGCCTATGTGATTTTACACTAACTGGGTGCGAAAACGAGGGTTGATAAATCACAGGGTCACTGTGGACCAACTTTGATTATTGTGATTGTACATAATCTGATCAATCATGATTAATTGTAGTGTATGAAACATATAATATAAAATACATCTTAATATATATAACAAATATATATAAATATATATATAAAGAAATGTTTTTATTTCCCTGGAACCAAAAAGCCAATATCAGCAGGTAGAGGTCAGTGTTTCTCACCTGTTTATATTTGTAACTAATCCAAATGATGGGATTTATTAATATGAAATATATATATAAATATATATGCAATTTTGAACATCCATTGATCTCGACTATGGGCTGCGGCTTTATTTCCAGTCATTGTTTTAAAGTTCCTTCTGTGTGACCCACTGTCCCGATCTAAAGAGTGAAAAGTGCTGAGGACAAACTCCCGATTCACGTCCAATCAATACCTTTAATGTGTTAGTTGCATGGACCAGTTTCAAACTGTTGCATTGCCTCATACCTCACAATGTTGTTTGTGTACTTGAAACAATTTTTTTTGTTGTTGTTGTCATCACTGAGCTGCCGGTGAAGGCGTTTGCCTTTTTTACCTCACACCTTTCCTTACCTTTTCTTAATCAGGTGTAGGTTGGTGTGGATGCCTGGAGAGCAGAAGCCTATAATTCTACACTGTAAATTTTAAAGAGAATTTTTTTTCAACATTTATTTTCTGTTAACTCCCTGTTCTTTAACTGAGATAAGGTTCAAGGACCTGGCATGAAATACTGCGATTCTCATACAGTTTTAACAATGGAATCTTCCAGAACAAATCACACTGGAGTCGGTCGTTCAGCTCCAGTCAGTATAGAAATATGATCATCAAAATCATCATCGTGGAGTTTTTGATACAAAAGGCTCAAGAAAATCGCAATGACATGAAGAAATCACTGCCAACAGATGGCAGTAAAGCATCAAATACGTTTCACCAAGGTGAAAGAATTAGGCTGCGACCCAATTTCAGCATTATGTCCAAGAGGATATTTGCAGTACGCACAGTGGAAAACTGTACCAGAGCAGGCGACCTCTGACCCACCAATACTGATTGACTTTGAATCCTTTAATTAAAAGTCTAACATCGACGCTGTAATGCCACCTTATGGAAGTCAACTGCCATCATACCTGGCACCAGGGACACTTTCATCAGATGTGTCTGGTAAAGAAACCAGCTGCATGACCAGACCTGAAGATGACGCTTCCCAGAAAGACACAGTGCAAACTAACATCAAACAAAACAACATCTGCCATGATGGAAAAAAGGAGGACCTAATGTGTTGTTATGGATGTCAAGGTCTCCGCAACACCAAGAGGAAGGGCACCAGATATATTAGATATTAGAACACCAGTTTAACTGACAGCAGCACACGACCCAGGTTGGATTTTTCTGTTTTGAAAGCAAGATAATTTAGAAAACGCTTAGACACGGGAGCAATCGTTGTCCTGGACCAAAATGTCATCTTATCTGATAAAAAACCCTCTAAAGAATGGAAACCAGGACCTGGATGAGGATTTCTGGAGGTCACTGGCCGACAAACAGACGATCGAACATCTGAAAACTGAAAATCAGAGGCTTAATGACGTGCTCCAGAAATCCCAAGTTGACCAAAAGAGAATTGACCATCTGGAAAGTGAAAACCAGAAGCTGAGTGACACGCTGCAGAAATGCCACGTTGAACAACAGAAATTTGAATGTCTAAAAAATGAAAATCAGAGGCTCGCCGAAGCATTGCAGAAATCGCTCATCGACCAGTTGCGGATGGACTGTCTGAAAAATGAAAATCAGAAGCTGAACAGGGCCCTGCAGAGGTCGCAGTTTGACCAGCTGAGGATTGACTGTCTGAAAAATGAAAACGAAAGGTTGACTGAGGTTCTGCAGAAGTCCCAGGATGAACACCAGAAGACCGACCACCTCCAGACAGAAAATCAGAGGCTGGCCGAGGCTCTGCAGAAATCCCAAGCCGACAAACTGAGGATTGACCATCTGAAAGGAGAAATCCAGAAACTGGGTGAGGCCATGCAGAAGGCCCAGGTCGACCAGCAGAAAATGTACTGCCTGAAGTACGAAAACCAGAGGCTGAACGAGACTCTGCAGAGATCACTCACTGACCAGCAGAGGTTCGAACGCCTGAAAAACGAAAATCAGAATCTCATCGAGGCTCTGCTGAAGTCGGGGGACTATCAACAGAGGATCGATCATCTGCAGCAGGAAATAGAGACGTTCAACGAGGCGCTCTGGAATTCAGAGACTGATCCTAGGAGGCTGGAGAACGTGACAATTGAGATCAAGGAACTCTATGAGACTCTGCAGAAATCCCAGGTGGACAAACACTTGATTGACTACCTGCATTCTCGTAATCACAAGCTAAGTGTGTGTCTGCAAAAATCACGCGATGACCAACACTTGATCAGATATTTGCAAAGTAAAAATAAAAAACTGCACATGGGGCTAAAGGAAACGGAGGACGACTTTGAATTGCTCTGGAAGGCAACCGTTCCTGGAGTACCTGTCGGGGGTCCGGTCTAGATGGGTCACAGCCGGTTGGCTCACTGCTCAGCTAACAGCAGACGGAGGGTCGTGGTCCTGCTGCTTCGTGGGTTCAGTGACGGCACTGAATTTAGCAAAGGATAGTAATGGAACATAATGCTAACTGCCAGGAAACACCACTGCCCCCTAGGTCCTTGATGTCCAGCGCTCTGGTTGTATTGTGTTTCCTTTTAACTTTTTCTTTTCCCATAAAACTTGATTCTTAGTCCCAACAAATATCAACGTCACCAGCCCGGCCCACCTCCACTCTGTACGATGTCCCTCAAATACATGTGGACCAAACCTTGACAATCCTTAAATAACCTACACTCCATCTCTTTATCTCTGTATAAATATACCAATATTACCTTGTTTTAAACTAGACTGAAAACGTGTTCAATGTTCTACCAGCATCGCTGCTTCTCCAGTCTGTCATATGTTCTAGACCAGTGGTTCTCAAACAAAAATATTTGGCCTTCAAAGTACTACAAGTATGTACCAACTTCACAGTACAGCAGTACAGTTCCTTGTGGACTGTTTATTCGTATGACGATTATTTGACTATTTAAGATACCCTGTACGATGACGCAGTACTGGTACAGAGTCAAAACATTTCTGTCCCCGGGGGGCGTAGACAGAAAATAATTGAGAACCACTGGCTTAGACCAATCTCTAAAGAGTGTTGCGTAGTGTCCTCAGCTTGAGTCATTCCCCCTGAACTTAAGTCTAATCAGCTTCTCTCGCATACCACTAGAGGGAGCCCAAATACTACCATTGGGCCATGTACTGTAGTTTGAAAAGTACTGTTATAAATGGTGAACTGTTGTTTCTTTTGTGGCGTACCTTGACCACGTACCTCGTGGTCAGACCGGTCCTCTCAGACTAAGACCTCTCCAAACCTTTTCATTATTTTAAACTGTTGTGTTTATGTCGACGACGTCTCTCCGTGTATCTACAGACGTCTGATTCCACCTCAAACATGTTTATTATTTTATGTGAACTTCTCTGTGTACTTAGGAGTGGCTGCTAAACAACAGATGTCTTGAACACCTGGTACAATTGAGTATTTGTCACACCAGCGGAGTACAGCTCTGTGTACATATCTGGAGTACATAATTAAGTAATAGAACCGGCTGAACAAGCTGTGATGATTTAGTTTCTAACTACAGTCAGAACATCTGCTGCTGATACCTTCAACGTCCTGTGTTTTATTCTGTTTATCACCAGCAATAAAACCATGAACCCGAGCATGATGTCGTCGTCCAGTTCTGACCATGAGCGACATTATCAACACATTTCCAGGAACACAACAGTTCTCATTTGTGCAAATGATTTTATTCACTTGTGACGATGACAAGACTGGAAGATGATGACAATAATGTGTGTACATTTTAGAGTAAACGTCCTAAATCAGTGGTTCTTAAATGTTTTACACTGTGTACCACTTGTGAAAATATTTGTCTCTTCAAGTAATTCTTGTACCAGCAACATAGTTCTATCCTCTTCAGCTAAAGCCAGAAAATGAATTCATCAGCCAAAGGCATGCTTCACCACTGGATTTCACTAGGGGGAGCCAAAGTACCGCCAGTGGTATGCGTACCTGGGGTTGAGAACCACTAGCCGTAAGTAATAGTTCTGGTTTTGATGTATAGTAGGTACCTCATGACCTGTAGTTATTTTAATTCCTCTGTATTACATCAGTATTTGTCCAAGTAACACATGAGGGCGCTGTGGACTTCAGCTGCCGAAGATTTGATGACGTGAGCTCAGGTGTCGGTGTTGTCGGTACCTGTATACCGGTGTACATCCACTCAGAAAAAAACCTGAACTTTAAAAATGTCTACAGTAAAAAGACTAAGGATTAAAATGTGTTGACTGATATCTGAAGTCAAACACTTCATTATTAGGCCATCAGTGGAGTGTCTTTGTTTATTTTTTTTTTTGTATATTTTTTATGTTATTTGTCTATGTTTATTTTTTTTTTCATTATTGATTAGTTTCAGGTGGTCTCAATCTGTGGTGGTGGCCCTCCTCCTGATCAGTGCGCTGACGGCCCCTTCAGGTAAGGCCTTGATCATATTCCAGGCCTCGAACCGTGTCATGTCCTGCAGAGAGACTCCTTGAACCTGCAGCAGCTCGTCACCACACTGCAGACCACACTGCTCTGCAGCGCCACCTATGAACACACGCAAAATCAGTGCTCTTATACTTAAACATACAAACGCTGTTTAGGAAAAATGTAATACTCCAAAGCTACACTGATAAAAAAAATCATTTTTATATTCATGAATACATATAGTTTTTACTATTTAACCAAAACTATATTTAAAAATAATAATTCCAAACTCATTTTGAAAGACTCTGAAGTTCTCCTCTCCTGGTCACCCACCAGTGAAGATCCTGTTGACGACCAGAGGTTTGTCTCCGTGGATCGAACCTTTTCCTCCTTCCAGAGTAAAACCCACTCCTCCAGCTCCTTTCTCCAGCACTACATGAACCGGAGCTCCCTGCTCCTCCACTGCAACACACAAACGTACACTCCAGATTCAGTGTTTTTATACATTAACTGTAAATGTTTTGGTCAGACTTAATTAGCTCTATATCAATAATCAATAATTGAATTTCTGACCCACCTGAACATCTCTGCTCCTCGCTCTTACAGCCTGACTCCTCCTCCTTTTCCTCCTCCTCAGATCTCTTGTTAATGACCACCACGGCTAACTTAAGACCACGAGTCTGGCGCAGAGACGCTGTGGCTTCGGCATGTGTGACGCCGCGCAGCGTTTGTCCGTTAATGGACAACACCTCGTCTCCTTTCTGGATGGTGCCCTCCTGGGCTGCCAGACCGCTGGGGAACACTTTGTGGACCTGGACCAAGACGATAACCATGGTTAGAGAGACGAGGGTGAGCTGGAATACTACTGTAGTACTGAAACTGTATTATTGTAAAGGACAAATATTTGAATTTTATAATACTCATATTTAATAACTGAGGTTATGTGTGGGGCTGGCAGTTGTTTTTGCTCAATGCAAGAAGGTCTAAAAACCTTAGATTTCATTGGTTGTTTTTTTTAATTATTTTTTACCAAAGTGAGTCAACAC